AATTAAATACTACACTTTTGCATTTAACGCATTTTAACTTTTATACTTTTACTTACACTGTTGAAGCAATGTATTATTTCCTCCAATTGTTAAAAGTAATTAATATATGCAATATACAATTTTTTCCTGAAGCAAACTTGAGATAACTTTAGTATTGATAAAAAAAAGTTGGCAAACCAGATATCCCAATTTTTGTTTGTTTGTTTTTTTATTTTAGAAATGAAAGATTTTTTTTTTTAAACTTTTGATATAGAGAGAGACAGAGCATGAGCAGGGGAGGGGCAGAGAGAGAGAGGGAGACATAGAATCCAAAACAGGCTCCAGGCTCTGAGCTGTCAGCACAGAGCCCCATGCGGGGCTTGAACCCACAAACCGTGAGATCATGACCTGAGACAAAGTTGGACACTTAACCAACTGAGACACTCAGGCGCCCTGATTTTTTATTTATTTTTAATTTTTTAATGTTTTTATTTATTTTTGAGAGAAAGCCAGCATGTAAGCAGGGGAGGGGCAGAGAGAGAGAGGGAGGCAGAGGATTCAAAGCAGGCTCTGCACTGACAGCAGAGAGCCCAATGCAGGGCTTGAACTCTCACGAGCTCTGAGACTGTGATCTGAGCTAAAGTTGGACAGTTAATCAACTGAGCCACCCAGACACCCCATGATAGCCCGATTTATTAGTATGTGAACACAAGGGTATCCCTGGGAAATTATGGAGTTTCACTATCATTCTTTTCCCTCAACTTTTTGTGAATTTAATGGTTAATGAAGACCTTTCTATCATCTGTCCAAACTGGCAAAAGCCCACAAAAACATATATAGGTAGGTAGATAGATAAGTAGAAAGATGGATAGATGATAGATGATAAATAGATAGAAAGATAGATAGATAGATAGATAGATAAAACCTTTTATTTTGGATATAGTCCTTATCTCACCCTTACCACCAAAATCTGGGAGCATTTTCATAAATGTACAGTGCTTGCTTGAGAAAATATTAAACATTATAATTTATTAATATGCCACATATTTATATTTTTAGGACAATATTGAATATCTACCCTAAAATGTAATCTCCTTCATTGGTGAGCCTGGTATTCTTTTGAGCTTCTCTAGCTGGGTTACATTGCTGTCTTATTGGTTTCCATGCAAAACCTCTGCCTCAACCCTTATGCTATCGGTTTTATTTTATTGATTTGACTCCTTGTTTCAACCAGGCCTCTGTGATTACATGCAACCAAAACAGACCCTTAACAAATTAAATAAAGGGGCTTTATTAATAGAGCATCAGGAGCCCATTGTACCAAGGAAATGATAGAACTAATATATCTGCGAATGGACAGAAACAACGCCTGCTTCAGAAGACTGGGAGTATGAACCATAAAAAGGGTCTTATTGTAGAAACACCTTGGACAAGGCACCCTGTTGGAAAGAAGGTACTTAACCATTTATAGCCTCCTCTTAATGGAATCAATATTCAGTTCTAAGAATGGAGGTTTCATGACCTAACTTGGGTCATGTGCCAACATCGTAATAGATCAGAGAACTTGACATATAAACAATACTTTGGAAACACCATTCCATGAAAGGCAACCCTCCAGAATGAAATCAGGAGCTATTAGTAAGGTAGAAGATATGATGAACAGTTAATGAGGAGCAAATGGTAGCTCTTTGAGATCAAGAACTATGTTTTCAATGTTTGATCTCAGTTCTAAACACACTACTCTCACAGAGTAGATGCACAATAAATGTCACTCATGCTGCAAGAAGTAATTAAGATTCCCACATTTTGGAAATATTTCTCTAAGCATAAATATTTCCATTCCTCTTGATTTAGTACCGATCTTTAATTCTTATTTTCTTTTTTGTCCTAAGAAATATGTCTTAAATAAATAATGAAAAGAAAAACAAAACTTAATGAGTGTAAAATGTGTACCAGCTTCAAAAGATGCAATAATTAATAAAACATGATATCTTCCCTTCATGAGTTCACAACCTATGAAGAGAGGTAGATGTTTAAACCAATGACTAGTGTGATATGAGCTATCTTGCAGACTGGTACCAAGAAGATTGATATTATCACAATATTATAACCTAAGACTCAGAACCACCAATGTCTTTAACTGTAATATACACCTTTGCAAGTTTATTGTATGAAACATTATTTAGACATGTAAAGGAGACTTATATCCTTATATTTACATTTATGTAGATAATGCATATATATCACCTGTGTAAAAACAGAATTAAATATGTCCATGGGCACTATAATTGTGATTATATAAAATATTTATGTGGATATGGACAAAGACTGGAAGGCAACACTGAGAAGTAAAAGTAGTTATTGCTAGGATGATGGATGAGTTTTATAGTTCAATTTCCTTTAATGGTGTTATAGAGTAAATACATTTTCAAAGGTATGTTGGGACTATTCATTAAATGATTTCATTATTCCACAGAAACAAAATACACTAAAATTTCTCCTTGCCTGTTAATGGGATTTACTTTGTCTTTTTGCAGTTTTGGGTTTTGCTGTGAATGTAAGGGAAGACTCTCCTTTAGTATTAGCATTTATTTAACACCCCCCCCCCAACCTGCAATTTTTAACCTATTTCTCCAAACTGTCTGTAATTTGCAGGTTACAGGATGTCCAATAGGTTTTAGCTAGATTAAATGGCTGTTTTGACTCATGTTAACATTTTTAACATTGTAATTGAATAGCAGCTACCTATTTAAGGGTCACAGGTGCTTTAAACTCTCTATTAGCAATACAAAAGTAACCCTCCTTGCTACAAACATACTTTTTCACATTTCTCTATTTCTGTAGAATTTTCCAGTTCTGTGGGTTCTAATCTTTGCTCTCGACAAAGAGCAATCTCTTTTCAATTGCCGGAATTAATACTTCAGTTCAGTTCAGCATGTTACCATCTACTTGACTGATATCTATTGTTTCTTCCTTGAGTTCCACACCCTAATGTTCTTCTCTTCCATTTTTGCCTTTACACCGCTGCTGCATCATGCTCACCGAGGCTCTAGCCATTTCATATGCCTGCTTTAAAATATCATATGAGCTCTCATTTGGCTACTAAACTGAAATACATACTTTGCTGTTCACTTTTGGAATTTCCTTGCTGCTTGTGACATTTTTCTCATGCTCACTCTACTGCTACCCTGTAAAGCAACATAGCAACAGCTGTGTCTCTTCCTACGTATCTTTGCTTGTACAGTTCCCTTCACCTGGAATGTTCTCCTTCGTTCTTGCCTTAATCACTGAGAGGCCCATTTTAAAACTTGCCCTTTCCTGGGGCACCTGGGTGGCTCAGTCGGTTAAGCATCTGACTTCGGCTCATGATCAGGTCATGATCTCACAGTTTGTGGGTTCGTAACCCTGCATCGGGCTCTGTGCTGACAGCTTAGAGCCTGGTGCCTGCTTTGGATTCTGTATCTCCCTCTCGCTCTGACCCTCCCTTGCTCATGCTGTCTCTCTTTCAGAAATAAATAAAAAAACAATAAAAGAAAATTTAAAACTTGCCCTTTCCATCATGCCTTTTATTATTATTTTAAATGGATTTGACTTCCATTCTCTCCAAGTAATTAGAATTTTGCTTGTGCTCTCTTTGTGTGAATTCTATGAAGACAAAAACAATACCGTTTCATCTTTATGTCCACTGAAAACATCTAACTCAGAGTACTGCTTCTTCAAAGACATTTTGCTTACCAGTTTAAATTTCTTATTCTTAGATAAGATATATTGGGGAGATCAGAAGATAGAAGTCTAAAATAAGGAGGAAAGGGAGAGAAAGAGGGACTAAGAGAGGAGAATACTTAGTGTCTTCTGGGTCTCATACAATAAAATTCAATTCCTTTAAGTATAAAGAAATAAGAATTGTATTTACTTACTTTATTTATCTGTTTGTGTGTTTTTTGATTTTTATATGTAAAGCCTAGCATTTGGGTAACCTAATATAGGAACTGTTTTAGTCAACTAAGGTGCTTTATTTTCTGTTTTTTTTCTTATTTTTTTTTTTTTTTTTTTTTTTTTTTTTTTTATTTTTTTTTTTTTTTTTTTAATTTTTTTTTTTTTAAACCAAAGTATTATTTTTATAGGAATGTTTCCCTGCTAAGGAATGTAACTGCCTATGGAAAACCATGACGATCTTGTGCAGAAAGTAGCAAAGAGAAAATCTATATGGATTTTCTTGAGTACTTCGATCAGACCATATCTTTGTCTTTATCTTCCTGGGTCCCCAGTGCTTAGAACCCTCTTCTCTTCTTCCTCTGTGGTCCACAGAGGTCACAGTTTCAGATCCAAGTAAGTTAGCATCCACTGAGTTTATTTTTTGTCTGTCCTAAAATAGCACCCTCATAGATTGATGAGCCTAATAGCATATTCAAATCAGCTTTGCTCAAGAAATGCACATTTCAGTGGATAATCTTAGACCAACCTGTAGGGATATTTACATACATTAATTATGAATACCCTTCCCTGGCCAGAGCCTGAAAAACTTGGCTTTAAAAAAAATTTAGTGTTCCTAAAGAGATGAATTTTAGAATAGTATTTAAAGTTTCCAGAGATATGAAGCAGTGCTTGATTACTTAGTAAAGCATTGAAGGAATTGTAATCCTCTATATAAATTATGGTGAGCTGTTATGAAGCATTTTCTTTCTTATTGAGAATATGATATGTATACCTATATTTCTCAGATATACTTAGAGTTAAAATATAAGAAAAGACAGGATTCCTGCTTTTTGTGGAACTAGTAACCTTAAAATAAAAACTTACTATTCAAGAAATAAATATTTCCAGTGGGAAAATCATGCCACTGGACATCACTAATACAAAATTGAACTTATTTTATTTATTTACAATGTTTAAGGTCTCAGATATATACAGATTTACATTTTATTCTTTTCCCTTGAGTGTGATAATGCCATTTTATTATATTGTATAATAGTCATACGGATCTATTTGTTGAACCTATTTCTCTCTCTCCTTTTCTCTAGCCTCAACAAACCTTTCCTGGAAGCAATGAGAGCTCTCAAATTGAGACAAGAAAGGAAGAAAATCTGAACACTACTGAGTGCAATCCTCTAAATGTAAGAACAACTTAAAATGGCTTTCACAGTATTGGACATGAAAATAAGGGTATAAACATTTTTAACAATTCTAGTTCATGCTGCCATGAAGCTTTCTATTTCTATGTAATATCTACTATCTAAACATTGTACTTTAAAATGTAGAAAAGAAGATATTCTTTGGATGTCAGTGAAGTGGGTATTCTGTTAGGAAATATAATCATACTCTTAGGAATGCTGTGTAAGTAAGGGGTGAGTAAGAAGTAAGGACGTGACCACATGCTCTGCAACATGCTCATTCCCACGACCATGTGACAAAATGCTGCTAAAATCTTTAAAAGTAAAACAAAACAAACAAACAAAAAAAATCCCCAAAGGATGTGATTCAATAGTATTCTCTCTGTTAAACAAATAAACCCAGCATTACAGAGGCATTACATTGAAGGAAGAGATTCCTTTTTTGTTAATACTTATTTATTTTGTGATAAATGACAGATAGATGATAGATAGATAGATAGATAGATAGATAGATAGATAGATAGATAGATATAGAGAGAATTCCAATCAGTCTCCATGCTCAGCACGGAGCATGATATAGGGCTCCATCTCATGACTGTGAGATCAAGACCCAAGTCGAAATCAAGGATCAGATGCTTAACCAACAGAGCCTCCCAGGGACCCCAGAAAGATAGATTCTTAACCTTCAGATGAAAATAGGAAATATCCAATTGTGTGCTATGGGTGTTTTTTACACATAATAATGTAATGAAATTTTAATTCTGGGGCTTGAGCACAATTACAGACCTATAATATCTGGATTTGAGAAACAGCAAATGACAATTGTATTGAGTAGATTCAAAGTTAAGCTTTAATCTACTTGACAAAATGAAAGTATTGCTGAAACCATTTGTGATGGGAGAGAGATTAGGCTACTGAAAGGAAATAAAACAGAAAAGACACACAAGTTAATCAAGCCTATCTCATTCTCTTCTATTGGCCACTAATGTGAATTTAGAAATATGATTTTCTCAATAATTTTGCCTTCAACTCTTATATTTAACATGTACCGATTTAGAACGTAATAAAACTAATGAGAAGTAAAAATGAAATTTTTTGCAATTTACTTCCAAAGAAGAAGGTAGGAAGGCTTTGGGCCAGAAGGAACCTTTTTGTGAAGACAGATCTCTGTCAGTGTGAACAAATGTGCAGAGACAAGAAACCATTGAGCTAAAATGACTAGAGAGTAGAGTGCAGACAGTGATGGGATCTATGCAAAAAAGGATAATTTGGGACTTAAATGTGAGAGATACTGGATTCTCATGCTAAGGAGTTTGGTTTGAATTAAGGTTGTAGTTCAGGTTTTCAGATATCTGCATCTAATTAAGTTATGCGACCATAGAGTTAATTTTAAGGAGTGTGTTTTTATTTCTTGGTTTATTTTCTTAAAACTACCAAAACAATTTTGCCACATAAGACTGTACACTTAAAACTGGGTTATATCTTAATTATATATATGAATTTTTTAAAAAAGAGGAAAAGAATCTTGGAAGCAGCACCCTTATGACTCATGCTCAGGCTTGATCCTTCAAGGTACTGCTTTGAGCTCTTACATTAGGAGGAATTCAATTGCTTTATTCCTTCCTCTATACTGACACATGTGTGCCTTGAACAAACCATTCGTGTAATGAGGTGTCCAAAGCATCTAGGAAGACAAAGAACAGGGCTCATTAAGCTTAACAAACAAATAAAATGTTCCCATTGGAGACAAAGCCACAAAGTCCTATGTATTTTGCTAAGGCTCCCCAAAACAGCATTCTGGTCTACTTTTCTTATCAAGAGTGAGACCTGCCCAGAATTGTAAATTGTTTTTTGTTGTTTTGTTTGTTTGTTTGTTTGTTTCACTTTCCTAGTTTTATTGTCCTTTTTTGGTCACAGGTAATTCTTTTCCCTTCAATAAGTCCCATAAGCAGCTACTACCTTGTTGCAGGTCCCAATCTGGGTCCCTTCAAAAATCTGCCTCCACCTGTCCCAAGGTGAATGATCTCTCTCTAACCTGATCTCAGTCTGGATTTTAGTCTTGGAGTTTCTACTTCCAGGAAGCTACACTTTGTAGTGCGGAGAGTACTCAATATTCATAGGCTATAGACTCAATTACATTTAAAAGCTGTGAGAGTAATATACATGAGCGAAATCTACCAGACATAAGCCATAGGAATTAGTGGGACTACTGTGAACATCAATTGTTAAGTTTTAGACCCACAGTTCTTAGCTGCCCTCACAATGGTATCACCTCAAGAGTTATAAAATACTGATGCCCAGCATCGACATCTGAAATATTAACTCAACATCTTGGTATGTAGGGGTCTAGACATTAGTTATATTTATTTTTTCAATTACTCCAGTGATTCTAATGTGCAATCCAGTTTTACTACCAATGTATTTCGCATATAAATGACCATAAACATCATGTGGAAGGCTGTTAAAAATTAAGATTCTGAGAAATTCTTCAGGAAATTTTAAATGAATAGGACTAAATGTAACCTATTTTGGGGTGTTTCAGTTTCTGTTTTTTTACATTGCATTACATTTTTTACATTGCATTACATTTTTTACATTGCATTACCTGGCAGCCCTCTTCCCAATCTAGGTGATTCTGAAGCAGATGGACTATGAGCTGTAATTTGAAAAACCTTGGTTTAGATAACACATCATCCCTTTAATATGTTGTTTAATAATGGATTCTCTGCTTCTCCTATTGTGTTATATTTACCTTCTAAAGAGGGAAGTGCTTAAATAAGGCTCTCTGATTTACATGATGAAGGACTGTGGTGTACCTTTTGAGAGTGGGTAGGAGAGATCCATCTGCAAACCCTTCATTTATTATGTAACCATGCGCTGAAGTAGGACCAGTACTGATGTAAGACTGTGCAATTGAGCGGGAAGCTGATGTGTGATTTCATCCATTGCTAAGGTCTCCATGAAAAATCTAGTGAACCGTCATCACCCAAGCTACAGTAACCAGAGTAAGATTAGTCTTACACATGGAGAGCTCTATAGTTCCTTTCCAAGGATTCCCCAATGCTTGAGACTTCTTCAGCCTTACAGAAAGAAAGTAGGGAGACCTTTGGATCTATGAAAACTACTGTTACTCAGCCCTTCTGTAATCACCCAGAATATTCTTATTTGTGTTGAACATCATGAAATGCGGTTGCTGCCATGTTAATACTGCAACATGAAAATACCTTCAACTTGACTCTATGAGGCTGGAGACTCAGCCCCAATTTGGGCTGCTTTAATTTAATGTCTAAATGGGGCGCCTGGGTGGCTTAGTCGGTTAAGCGTCCGACTTTTGTTTAGGTCATGATCTCACGGTTCGTGGGTTCGGGCCCCGCGTCAGGCTCTGTGCTGACTGCCAGCTCAGAGCCTGGAGCCTGTTTCAGTCTGTGACTCCCTCTCTCTCTGACCCTCCCCTGCTCATGCTGTCTCTCTCTCTCTCTCTCTCTCTCCTAGAAATAAATAAAAACATTAAAAAAAATTTTAATTTAATGTCTAAATGTGGTATCCAAACATAATTTCATAAAGTAAAAGCCAAATAAAGGTATCCTTTCCTGGGAAAGGGATTAGTGTATTTTCTTTTGAAGGAAAAATAGTTATATTTGGCAGAATTATGGCCTCCTTATTTGTCAGAGACCAGCTCCAGCCAGGGTCCAGCAGTCCCTGAAGGATGGACGGTGTCGGCGAGGGAGGGGTGAGAGAGGCCCGAGAGTCTTTCTGGTCACCAGGCAGGCATCTCTGCCCTGACTAGATCTCTATTTTATAAGTGTTTGGGGGATAGCACAGAAGTGGCATTTGCCTTAGCCAATGATTTCTGATAACAAACTTCTTTGATACGTAAGAATTTCTCAGAACATAGATTTGTAGTAGACTTCTGCATAACCTTTATCAATAGTGAGATAGGTGATTTATCCTATGGGGAAGAAGGTATCTTTAGCATATCAGACAATGTTTTTAGCATAAAAGGGTGAAGTTACTTCTCTGTGGGCAGGGGTCAAACAGGTCTTCCAGGAAACACCTTTGCTCCCTTAATCACAAAAGAAGTTCCTTAATAGGTTCCTTCACAGGGAGCAATCAGCATATTCAAGGCCAGACTAAGCCACTCCAAATACTTGATAACAAATGCCTTGGGGGAGGTGGCTAGTGCTCCAAGCAGAAACAATTGGGTGGGAGTGGATATCTGCCCTTAACTCTAAATTAGGCTTTTTGTCTCAGGGCTAGACTCAAGCCCCCTTTATTATGTAAGTCTTGGACCTGCAAGGCCCTTAGGAAGAGCCTTTTAACAATCATCCACAATGTTTTCATCTGAAATCTCTTTGGAAAAGGCAGGGACAAGCCTTTCCTTATGAGTAATCTGTGTGGGGAATATCGATATGATCTGGAATATTGTGAGGCCTGGTCAATACCAGCAGCCTCATTTCCAACATGAGCCAGTAGTAGCAGAAGGAGATACCAGTTTTCGTTTCTCATGGCAGGAGCTGTGCAAACGCTACCATTTCCTCGCTGTGACTGTCATCCAGTGAGGCCAGTGTGGCTCCCAGCACTTATTATCTTTTTTTTTGGAGATTAAGTATGGTATAAAGTGATGTATATGGGTTGCAAATTAACAAGGAGTGGATTTGTGATGGTTATATGTGTCAGTCAGCATGCCCAGAGAGCTGGGTACAGTACTTCTGGGCATATTGACAGATTGTTCCCAGAAGAGATTAGCCTTGAATTGGTAGACTAAGAGGATTGGGCGGGAATTCTGTAATCCCTTGAGGGCCCACGTAGAACAAAATGATGGAAGAAGGGTGAATTCTTTCTTTCTTGAGTTGGCACATGCATCTTCTTCTGATCGCAGACATCAGAGCTCTTGGATCTTAGGCCTTGCAACTCTGAGACTTAATAGCAGCAGCATCCCCTTGCCTTCCCCAGTTCTCAGGTCTTTGTCCTCAGACTGGCAGTTACATCGTCTCTGAGTAACC